CGTTTTGTTTGAGTTTGTTCTTTTCCGTAAGAAAAGCAGCGTTCTCGCACTTACTAACTGCAACCTTGCAACCAGTTGGAAAAAGGCTGCGCAGATGCTGAAAGGCAAGCAAAGAGGCGTCACGCGGGGTAAGGGCTTGGACGCTCCTCTGACAAAGTTCTCTATCTTCACCGGTCCTTTGGCTGTTAACTCTGGGTCTTCTGCGCTGCCGCTAGCTGCTTCCTTTGGCTCGGCAAGCTGCCGCTCAAGTTCCTTGATCCTTTCCTGCTCCTTGTTGGCTTCCTTCTCCTTTCGCTTCTTCTCCTCTTCTTTCTCTGCTTCTGCCTTCTTCCTTTTCTCTGCTGCTGCTGCTGCTGCCTGCTGCCTCTTTTTCTCCTCTGCTTTTGCTGTGTTCCTCTTCCTTTTCCTGCCTTTTCGTACTGTTCCTTGCAAGTCAGCCGTCAGTTCCGGGGCTGCCGGTTGGCCCTGAGCTGCCTTTCCGCGTTTTCGTTGTCCGTTGGGACTGGAACCAGTTGGGATGACGGTCGACTTCTGCTTGTCGCTGAGTAGTTGTACAGAATCAGAGAGGCTTGTACAGCATCGCCGTAAGCCGAACAGGGAAGACTACTTTTAGTTTTCACACTTGAGTTACGCTGATTCTGAAAAAGACTGCTCAAAGATTCCCTTGATAAATGTGCTGTAGAAGGGACATAACTTGGCAGCATGGATTCCCAGCAGCTTGGGTCCTGCCAGCACCAAGGCATAATGGAAAAGCCGAAAGCCAAGCCAGTTCAGCCGAGTTTTGGAAAGGCTTGCATTGTTCGACGGCGTCGACTCGTCGACCTAATCCCACAAGGACAGTGCCCTTCGCTGCCTTTCGGCACCTTTTCCAGGATGGCGGTGGTCGATCAGAAGCCCTGCCACAAAACCGCTCCGAGAAGGCTCCAGAAAAGGCTGATGAACTGGCTGAGCTCAAGGGAACCCGAGCAGAACACTGAGGTGAGCTGTCTGGCGGCGCCATACTCGGAGGTGTAGCAGCTGAGTTCCACCCGTAGAAGCTAAGACGGAATTACCATGATGGCAAGAGGCTGGAGCACAGGAGCAGGGTGGGCTTGTGCGGTGGCGGCTGGCAGATAGAGGGACCTTGGACTTGCTGCTGGAAGGCGCGTGGAGTTCTTTTCCATGCCTTTCTTGGACCGAGAGAGGACCCGCTTCGTTTCGCCCGGGAACTTGCGAAAGAGAAGCAGGTCCTGGGACTCTCGTTCGCTGCTTCGCTCTGGGAATCAGGCTCTTTGTGCTTGGCACTCGTTTTGAGACGGACACCAGGCCGCCCTTGCCTTTGCCGCCTTCTTGCCGCCTTGCATTGCATTGATTTCCTGTTTTTGCAGCCTTTTTCTGGCTTCGTTTCACCTCGTTTGTTTGTTTGGTCTCGTGTGGGCACCGAGCGCTGCGGATGCAGTTTTCGAGGCCCGCTCCAGCCAAAAATGAGATCTTGCGGACATGACGGGCCGTCGCTCCACCCAGTTTTTGATGTTGACCACAATGTTTTCGACAATTTTTCCAGTCCGGGCCTTCTTTTGATCGTACAGTTCACAAACTCGCCAAACGCTGATGAGAGCCCCGACACTTCGCTGAGTAAGCTTCATGTTCAACATCAGCTCCACATTGTCATCGTCTTCCTGTTTTCGGCTGGTGTCCTGGAAGCCCATCTTTTGTTCACGGTCGTGAGCTATGGTATGTGTTTCTTGCTGAACCAGGGGCACCACTCACTTCTTTCACAGAAGGTCACACCTTTTTCCTTCAGCATCACACACCAACTGCAACCGCAAGCCATTCCAAAAAACCAACCCCAAGCCTCTGGGCCAAACTTCGCAAAGTCTCGATCCACGAATAGCCAAACCAAAAACACAACTCGGTTTTGCAGATTTCCATTATTGAACAGTGCAGCTTTTTCTGGTAGAATTTCGAAACTATGTCATTCGTTCAAGCTTGCTGACCTGATTAAATAGGCGATGCCTTGGACATTGTTCGTGTCTTTTGTTTTAATAAGAGGAACGGTCTTCAACGTGTGAATGCATGATGACATCCAAGTTCGTTGTCGCAAAATGGACGGATTTGTCGGGTGTTGCAGTGCCACTCGTGGCTTTTTGTGAAATTTTTGCAGGCATTTTCTGGGTGCGCATGTTTGGAGAGTGACGGAGCTCGGTAAATTCAAACTTGCTGCCGGTCCGTCGGTTCCAAAAAAATAGCTTCTTCACCCACGGCTCGAAACAGGGTTTGTGCACACAGGCGGGGTCACGTGAGAAGTCCATGTTGTTCATGTTGCCAGCCGCTTGCTGCTGCTAGTGCGTATTCAGTGCTGCAAGGCATTGAAAACTATGCAAGCTTCTTTGGTCAAGTGCCGGCTTGTTATTCTGAGTTGCGGTTCCTTCATTAGATCACAGTGCCAAAATTTGTTTCTGCTGTGTGAAGGTACAACACGCCAATACTGATCAGCACCACTGGTGCTTCAAAAGGCAAAAAGGACAAGGCCAGTTCATTCTATTTGTTTGCGAGAAACTGAGTATATGCGAGGTCTGCATGGAACACTGCATGACAGGTTTCCTTGTTGTCGTGTTGGCAGGAAAAGAAGAAAGATGCCCAGCCTGCTATGTCCCAGACGGAGGTGCCGTCTGCTGCCTGACGTATTTTCACTGTCGCCGGTTGCATGATCCTTGTTCGGTACCTTCTGCGCTCATTTAAGCTTTCAGGATATCTTGAACTCGATCTTGCCACCTCGTGAGTGGACGCAAGAGGATCAGCTCTGGGTCCTCTTCCCCGTGTTGCGTGAAGTGTTTTTGCCATCAGTGTGCCGTTCGCCTTCTCACACTCTGCTGTGTGCCAGGTACAGTACGTTTCCTCTACACCGGCGACCCGCTTGCTTCCTAGATGTTGTCTCTGCAGAGCCGGATCAAATTATCAATGCAACTGGAAGTGTGACAGGAGCGGATGTCGTCAACTTGCAAGAGGATTTGGACAAGTGGCTTCAGCAGAGACAGGCCTTTCCTGTAAAAAGTGTCATGCAGGCTTGAACAGGAGTCGGACGTTTCCGTGACACTCAACACAGCATACACAATGCACGAGCGACGAATAATGCATTGCACAACCAAGGCGGATAGTGATAGTGAGTAAATTAAGATATCGGTGGAAAAGAGCTCAACAGATGTGTAAATGAGCAGTTGCACGATAAGACAACATGAACACGGATACATGGGGCGGTCTGTCTGTCTTTGCATCCGCGGTCCGTGAGCCTGCCCGTCTCTTCGTCTCGTCAGTCTGTCTGTTTGTGATCTGATGGTAATGGTACCTATCTCGATGAAGACACTCTGTAAACTGAGATTGTCACCCCAGTTGCAGGTTCGTCAGTTCGTGTCTCTCTCTCTCTCTCTCTTTCTTTCTCTCTCTCTCTGTTTCTCTCTGTCTCTCTCTGTCTCTCTCTTTGACTCTCTCTCTCTCTCTCTCCCTCTCTCTCTCTCTCTTTCTCTTTCTCTCTCTCTGTCCCTCTCTCTACGTGTCTGTCTCCGTGTCTGTCTGTGTCTCCGTCTCCGTTTCGGTCTCCGTCTTTGTCTCTGTTTTTTTCTTTTTTTCTCTCTCTCTCTCTCTCTCTCGCTCTCTCTCTGTCAATGTCTCCATATACATATACATCTACATATGATTGTTTGCATGTGAAAAGTTGGTCGTGAGCCCAATTGTCATTCCCTTAACATAGTCTCATTGTCACAAAGCTTCGTTAGATTGTTAGATCCCACAAACCTGTTCGTATTGAGAGTCTAATACCTTCGCAGTTTTTGATCATCGTCTTCATGTCGCTGGTACTGCATCGTAAGTCAGTGCGAGCCCCGCACCGTGCGTAGTTGTTTTGGACATTTGGTCTGACCGATCGCACATGATCGCACCAAGTCTTCTCAACAAGATCGTTGAGCAAATGAGTTACTGAGTTCCGCAAGACCCTAAAACTTAAGACATCACAATCTAGCCAAACTCTTTGACAATGAGGGCTTGAGTTTGAGCCACAATGCCGTTGGTAATAGTCCCAGCAATGAGGGGCTTGAGCAACTCCGTACATGTCGGGTTCATCGGAAGTGTGCTACGCGTATTGAGGAGAAGCCTGCAAAAAATCACTACAGAGAGCTCGTTTTCCAGCACATGAATTCAGGTCTTTTGGCAGCCTAATCTGTAAGCCTTGATAATTCAAAGTCGGATGCTTGTGCGTAGTTAGGTATGCATGTCTGCATGAATGTATGCATGTATGAATGTATGCATGTATGCATGTATGCATGTATGTATGTATGTATGTATGTATGTATGTATACATCTGTCTATATGTATTTAATTATATACATATATATATATATAC